GGTGGCTCATGCCTGTAATCCTAGCACTCTGGGAGGCTGAGGTGGAAGGATCACTTGAGCTCAGGAGTTCCAGACCAGCCTTAGCAAGAGCGAGACCCTGTTTCTACTAAAAATAGAAAAAATTAGCCGAGCGTGGTGGTGCATGCCTGTAGTCCCAGCTACTCAGGAGACTGAGGCAGGAGGATAGCTTGAACCCAGGAGTTTGAGGTTGCTGTAAGCTACGCTGGCGCCATGGCACTCTAGCCCAGGCAGCAAAGCGAGACTCAGGACAAAAAAAAAAAAAAATCGTTACAAATTAAGAGTAGCAAGATATTTGTGAGATATTTTTCTCTAAGCGGTGGGGTTAGGAGTGCTTCTTATTTTCTATTTATCCTCTATTTTGTAACTTTTCTACACTGAATATTAGTTACCTTTTAAATTAAGAGTAACATAATTATAAATTAATAAAACTTAGTTGTTATAGTTTTCTTTTTTATTTCAGCATATTATGGGGGTACAGATGTTTAGGTTATGTATGTTGCCCTTGCCTCCCCACTCCCCCCCAAGTCCGAGTTTCAAGTGTGCCCATCCCCTTAGTTGTTATAGTTTGAGGTACATAGAATGAAATGCACAAATCTTAAACACCTACCTTGATGAATTTTTACATATGTATACACACTCCTGTGTGACCACCACCTAAATATTATAGTTGTTGGAATTTTTTAATTGGCTAATTAACATACTCATTCAATGTTGGCCAGTTTTATCTCAACTAGGGACCAAATGATACCCACGTTCTCGCTCACCAAATGCTGAGGAATTTTTTCAGGTATAAATAGCATGGTATCCAAATGATCAAAAATTGAAAATGAAATTATAAGAAGGCAGGGCTGTGTGCTAAAAAGGTTATCCTGGCCCGGCGCAGTGGCTCATGCCTGATATTCCGAGCACTTTGGGTGGCAAGGCAGGAGGATCACTTCAGGCTAGGAGTTTAGAGGCTACAGTGAGCTATGATCACACCATTGCATTCCAGCCTGGGTGAAAGAGCAAGACCCTGTCTCGAAAAAATTAAAACTTAAAAGGTTATCCCACACTGGCAACCATAAATAAGCTTGGCTTCATATCAGCAAGGCTGCCAATAGCCAAACCCCAAATGACAGACTTGGTTCCAAAAGGAAAGTCTCTGAGGCCTGAGCATGGGGTATAAAAAAGCCAGGCAGCCAAATCTGGCAGCAGATGAATAGTCAAAGCCTCAAATAGGCTTTAAGAGGCAGTATGCATGTGAGCTGGTAGAGAACAAAGACTCAGCCAGACTTGCTTTCTGCTCTGCAATCTCAGTAGGACCAGCCCCATGGTAACTTACTCCCTTCTTAGTGCAAGACGACTAACCTCATGCTTCTTTAACTGCCTCTTCTCCAGCTTCTTGTTACATTTGCAAGTCACCTAAGAAGTGAGAATCAATAAATTGGCTTTGTGACAACACACACACTTGCTATTGCACAATATCAAGTATAATACACTTATGAACAGCAAGTATAACACATTCATGAACATTTGGGTACTTGATGGCTCACCTGACAGTGTTCCGTAGCCATATGAGTCTCCATGTCAGATTTGGGAAATGGTTCCTTGCAGACAGGACACATACCAATGTTCCTTTGACAGTGGATCTCATGGATGGTAAAGTTAAACACAGGAATTTCTTTCTTGCTACAGAAATAGAACAACACAAAAGGCAGGCATTACTGACTGATCTATGCCTTTTCTTACACAGTAGTTGTAATACGGAAATCTGTCCAATCTTTAGTTTCGATTATTTCTCTCTAGTGAATACCTAGTCTAAAAACTCTTATGACTGTTACCATCCGTGCTTTTTAAGAATTAAATCCTGGCCGGGCACAGTGGCTCATGCCTATAATTCTAGCACTCTGGATGCCGAGGTGGGAAGATTGCTTGAGGTCAGGAGTTTGAGACCAGCCTGAACAAGAGCGAAACCCCATTTCTACTAAAAACAGAGAAATTAGCTGGGCACAGTGGTGCCTATCTGTAGTCTCAGCTACTGGGGAGATTCAGGCAGGATGATCACTTCAGCCCAGGAGTTTGAGGTTGCAGTGAGCTATGATGACACCACTGCACTCTAGTCTGGGCAACGGAGCAAGACTGTCTGGAGGAAAAGGAAAAAAAAAAAAAAAAAGAATTAAATCCTGCAAGTTACATCTTCTGTACACCATTCTGAGTTATCAGTGCTATGCACTACCCCTAAAAGCTCAGCCTTACTTTCTTCAAGTTAGAGCTGATCACAACCAACAAGAAAGATGCCAAGGCCGGGCGCGGTGGCTCACACCTGTAATCCTAGCACTCTGGGAGGCCAAGGCTGTGGTGGATCGTTTGAGCTCAGGAGTTCGAGACCAGCCTGAGCAAGAGTGAGACCGCGTCTCTACTAAAAAAAATAGAAAGAAATTATCTGGACAACTAGAGGATCATTCGCAAGAAGGAGAAAATCAAATGTTGGTGTAGGTGGGGCACGGTGGCTCACGCCTGTAATCCTAGCACTCTGGG